GAAATCTATTTCAATGGCCAATCAGTTAGAAATTTAAATTTTCACATCAAACAACCAATTCATTAGAAAATTTACCTTTTCACATCAAACATACTTGCACATACACAAGAAATTCCCAAACACCGACAACAATCAAACCAAACTAAACAAGAAGCATTTATACACACACAGTCACACATACATGATACATATAAATGAAGTTATGTATGTATGCAACTATGAACAGATAATCAAACAGACGGCTTTATATTACATGAACTGATCGAGGTCTTTATCATCAAGAGCATGACTTCCATGTCCGCCGAGTACCGAATACTTAGCCACCACATGCTGCGACTGAGCCAGCTGAGCGTCGATCCTCGGCAACTGGTCCACCGGCGTAGCGATTCTCAGGCACTGCACATGCGCCGATAACAACTGATCATACAACGGATGATTCACAATCTCCGCTTTACACCTATCTCTCTCCCAATCACCACAGCTCTCTTCACCATTATTCTCACTTTCTCCATTACAAGCCATCGTCTTCTCTTGGTTCATAGTCGAGCCGTCGTCGTTCTGTTTCAGAAGCCACTGGTTTGAATTGGACGAGTCCGAGTTCGTTGTCTGGAGGTGGAGGAAATTATTATCGCTGCCGGTGAAGTGGTGGTGCTGGGGGTTTTGTTGGCGGAGCAGCCATGTTGGCGGTGCTTTTCCGGCGGCACTATCGGACGTTGACTCCGGTAAAAGTCCTCGTAAAACGGTAGCGTTTTCGGATAGGTGCTGGTCTGTGAAGTGTTGGTGGTGGAGGACCATTTCTTGAGAGAGGAGGTCTTGAAACGCCATATACAAAACAATTTCAAAGCCGGAGCTTCGTTTTAGAGAGAGAGAGAGAGAGAGAGAGAGGGAGGGGAGAGAGTATTAGTATACAGTTGTACATGTACACAGAGACAACATTACAGCAAAACGGTATAAGATATACAGTTTGAAACAGTTATACATTCGATTCGATTATAATGTCGAAATTGGTGGCACATGTAAAAAATATTGTATTTTTTTTATTTTATTTTTTTCATAATTAATGACTATAAATGAATGAAATCAAAACTTACTGCTATAAAATAATTTCGATATTGACTTATGGTGAATTATTTCAAGCGTGAATTATTAATTTTTTGTCCATTAAAGTGTATTTAAATTTAAGGTTAATTACAAAATACTCCTTTTAACTTTGGATAGTGTACAATTCACTCTTTCAGGTTTTAATTTTAACAAATAGTTCCCTTTAAATTTTGAATATCTTCCAATTAATTCCAATAGTTATTTTTAGAACATAAAAATTGATGAAATTTAAACATGCAAAATTCACATGATCCTTACTTTGTTGAAAATAAATAATTACTCTTGCACTTATTTTTCTTCTGTACCAAATATACATACTATTCTAACTAGACCCGTAACTGCCCATACTCACAAACTCTTCTATTCTCTTCACATACCAATAGAACCTTTTTCTTCTCTTTGATGAGGCGAACTCGAAAGTGGAAGTGAATATGATTTTTTCTAGTGTGTTAGTATTATTAGGCCAAATAGAAATAATTTTTGTCTTGATTTTTCATTTTCTTATTTTTTAGGGAGTTGATTGTAACAAGGAACATAATCTAAGGCGATAAATTAAAATTAACCCTTAAATTTATATTTAAGTTAAAACTCAAAATTAAACCCGTATCTAAAATTAAACTTATTTCTTATACATACAAATACGTTCACTACTCAAACAACACATGGTTCTAACTGTGAATATTAAAATTATGCTTAATTTTTATCAAAAAAAATAAACAAAATAATTTAAATCAATTTCTATCCAAATTGTCCTAGGGTTAGAGAGAACGCATTTTAGTAAAAGAAATACTATTTAAATTTAATTTGAAGATTTAATGTGATGATCTAATTAATTGTAATAATTAAATTAAAAAATTTCATCAAATTTTAAAACTCGTAATTAATTTAATAATTAAAATAAATTAAATCTCGAACGAAACCTCCAAATTACGGCCAATAGCATTGCATCCTTGGTTGGTAAAGTATACTTTTGGTGATCGGGGGTGGTTGGATGCCACGTGGATAAATGAATCGTTTCGATGTTTTTGGAGGTGAGAATGAGACAAAAACCGATCATTGATAGGTGGTGAGAGACTACGTGGACTTTAATTATTTAATAGTTAATGCTGGCGGGGTTAGTGGGTTATGGTTTCATCACCCTGTCCTGTGACCGGTTATAGCCGGTCGGCCTGTAATCATGATGCTCCAATCTAAATTTTTGTCTTAAAATTTTACTCGGTCAGCATTTGGTGATGAGTCATATATGATTTAGACAGATTTTTTTAATTAATCTAACGTTTCATTTTAATAATTTTTTAATTTATTTTTTTAGGTCAAATTTTATTTTATCCTTTTGTGGTTTGTCCTTGGAACACAACACCCCCGATCGTTTAAAAAAATCATCCCTTTGTGCTTTTAGTTCAATTTGTTGCCGTTACAATTTTAGTCCAAATTAATAAAAATTATATTCCACATCCCTAAAATAGGGTGGCTGTGAAAAAAAAATTGAGTCAATAGTCAAACCTAATAAAAATACAATTATGCCCTCTAACCATTGAAATGACAAAATTATCACTTCAATCATCCTCTTGCCGACCTCCTCACAGACCACCCAACTCGCCCAGCACGTCTTCTAGCGCAACTTCACTTCCTCCTCTACCAACACCCACCTCCTTTACCTCCTCCCACAGCCACCCATCTCCCTACTATCAACTCACTCTCTCTCTTTCTCTTTCTTTTTTTCTATTTGTGCAAGCACCTATTGTCACCGCATCTAGTATCATCGACCATCACACACCACCTCCTTTTTTTAGGGCTCTTTCTCTCTCTCTCACAATGGTATGTAATCTGCGACAAATGAACGAGGCAAACAAAGAACATCGCCATCGATTTTGCTTTGATTCTGATTTGGGTTCGATTTGATTTTTGGTTTAGATTTTTGTTCAATTCTAATTTCTAGATTTGATTCTCAATTATTTCAATTCCAAGACCCATTACAAAATAGGTTTTAGAGCATTTTCAATGGGCTAGTATTTGACATTTGTTAGTTAAAATAAAGAGTCAAACCACCAAATTGAACTCCAAAGATTAGTTATTTGGCTACCTATTTTACATTTGGGCTAAATGGCTCTCTACATTTAGTTACCCTCTTTGGCTAGCTATTTTATATTTAGAGAGTCAAATAATTCTTTTTGCACTCTAAGGGGATATCTATTTTATATATTGACGACGTGTCAAACTATGCAATATTTTGACTTAAAATATTAGTATTAGTTAATTAAAATAGAGAGTATAGTTGGAGTAATTTTCTAAAAATCGCTATTTAAAATAAAGAATGTAATTTTTTAATATATTTTGAGTAGTTATTTGAAGATTATCTTTGGAAATGTTCTTAGATAGGGTTAAGCTCAAATTACAACCCAAAAAAATCGTTCAAATCTCAATTTGTATTCTTAAAGATAAAAAAATTTAATTTATACCCTTAAAAATAGAAATTTATATCAATGTGCACCTCAAGTTATCATCTGTCAGTTTACCGTCTAAAATTAAATGGATAAATTATACAAAGACTCATTTATGTTTGTTACTTAATTATCTAGACCTTTTACATTTGAAATATTACATCTACATCCCTTGATAATTCAAATATGACTAAAAATGTTCTCCCAATTGGGCATTTAAATAATTTTGTTTAAGAATATTATATAAATACCTGCATTATATTAAGTATTTAAACGATAAACTTGATTTTAAACTTTAGAGTATAATAAACCCACAAATTAAAGGTTAATATGAAATAATAATTTTTTATTTGGATGAAGTCATATATTTTAAAGGTTATATTAATAGATATCAGCAACAAGGGATTATGTGTTACACATGCACAAATGTCAAGAGGTGTAGGAGTAATATTCTAAACGTGATAGAGTCCAAATGATTAAGTGACAAATAATGAGAAGATCTAAGTATAATTTATTCATTTAGTTTTGACAGCAAACTACTACCGTTAGTTTTATGTGCGTATTGATACCAATTTTAATCTTTGAGAATATAAATTAAAATTTTTTATTTTTGAGAATACAAATTAAAATTCGAACGATCTTTCGAGGTATAATTAACCTTTTTAGATATGATATTCTTTTTAAAATTTAATCAATTTGTTTGAATTAAGATTGATGATTGCACACACTGGGGTGGTGTTAATGAGCAGTGAGGGTAATTAGGTGATGGTGGTAGTGACAGTGGTACAATGGTGGACGTAGGCAATGGAGTGGAGGTGGTGGTGGTGGTGGTTTTGTTCTTAAACAGAAGAGAAGAGAAGAGAAAGACAGGGTGGAAGATACTGAGGGGTAGGAATGTCTTTTCACTATAGGTGTAAAACCACAATGGAGTTATTTGCTTATTTTTAAAAGATAAGGGAGTAATGTGCTTTAAAGACAAACCACACGAGGATAAAATAAAATTGACCTATTTTTAATTAAATGAAATTTTTTGAGAAGTTATTACATGTATTTATTAAAAAAAATATGCTGATGCACGAGTGAATAGGAGTAGTTTTTCTACCCATTGAAAATAAAAATAATAAGAGCAATGTTATTAGAATCATTGATTTTACTGTGGATTCCAGTATTTATTGGGACCCACTACCTATTCAATAGTTGAAATTATCAAATCTAATTTGTAATAAATGAAAATTCACATTAGACGTGATGAGACCTTAATTTCGACGATGTAACAATGAGGATGTAGCCAAGTTGGCTTCAACAATTGGGATAATACTTTTGCTTTGTTTTTGAATGATCAAGTGTTCAAATTCGCTTGTGATAGAATTTGTGTGAACCATATACTGATGAGAAGGGGATTGAAAGTTTGCTTATGCCTCGATGGATCTATAGTGACAGGCTCGACCTTTTTAGAATAGTAGTTATAGTTCAAATTATACATTTTACAATTGGTAAGAACTCCTTTGATCACGCCTAGGGTGCTCGTTACGTTGGTTGCCGCTTCCCACCTTTTTGCAGAATTATGTGGATAAAATGAAGTACAACAAAGTTATACACACCACTCTTCTACATTATTTTTGTATACCGCTTTAAGATAAATTATTAAATTAATAAATTATACAAAATTTAACACATATTCAATAATTGTAATTGTGCCGAGTCAAATTTATAAGTGAAATGGTGTCCAAAGATAGTCTACACAAAATGGAAATTTCTAACGTATTATAGACGGTATTGGCATTATAAATTATAATTTTTTTAAAATGTAAGCTACAGTTTTAAAAGGTATAATTGATTATAAAATGTTGAAATTAAGACCGCATCTTTTATGATTGATTAAAAGCATCTATAATGAATCATAATTTCTCTCGAATAATTATAATTTTTTTAAAAAATTATAATTTTATCATTCAAAATAATAGTCGATGTTATTTGTACCAATTTTTTTTTTTTTTTGGGATACTAGAGAGTTTCCCACACAACATTACTTATGCTCCATTTTGTATAATGAAAAAATGAAAGAATAGAAAGTTGAAAAAATTAAAAGTTAGAGGAATAAATAAAACATCATATTTGGTAAGGAAGAAAAAAGAAGAAGGATAAAAAATTGGATGAATTAACTTTCCTTCTAACTCACCAAAATCAATCCCTCCAAAATGAAAAGAAATGTAAATGAAAAGTTAATTATTTGTGTTAAAATGTATCTTATTTATCTATATATTAATGTATACATTAATTTCA